CTTCGACATGGGCCATGCGTTTACGACCCCCCCTCCCTCCATCGCGGGCAAATACCACCCCCCGTTGTGATGATCACAAAGATGGCGTGCCCTGCCTGAAATCTCGAATTGCTTTACTGACTCTCTAGCATTTCCTTGGAGGGCATCCAGGAGGTAGTTGAGTTTGTAGAGGTCATCAATGTTTCTTGAGTGAACGGTATGTTCGAACGTTTTCCAGAATGTTTCCCATTCCCAAATCTCGCCACAGAATTTGGGGATGGGGATTGGAGCTAGGTTCATTTCCAGTGCTTTAGTTGCAGTTGGGGAACTTGGTACTTCAGAAGAGTCGACTTCTTGCTGAAGTAAGGTTAGGGTTGTGTGCGCATCTTCTGCTTCGTCCAGCAGTTGGCGCGCTTCCTCTGAGACTGTTTCGGCCCTTTCTAGGATTTCCGACCTCTCTGGTTCTTCTAAATCCAGGCTGTCGGCAGCATTGATGTACTTCTCCAATGCTGTTTCTACCTTGGCCGATTCAAGTTCGATTGCTCTTTTGGCTTTGTCGATCCTCTTTCTGAGCTCGTCACGGTCTTCTTGTTCCACTGCATCGCCTGATCGCAGTGTCATAAGATCTGACGCATTTCTCAGAACAGAGGCTAGCCTGTTCAATGACCGCCTCAGGATTCCTTGGCGGTTACTTAGAGAGAGAGACATTTGAAGTTACTCACGGTTCTTCGTCTGTCCGGTCTCTCTTCAGTCTTCTCTTGGTTCTTGGGCTCTTCTTGGCTTCTTTCTCTTCTTGTTCGGCTTCCTTGACTGCTCCGTAGGCCGGCCGATGCACCAGTTTGTGGCGAGTGACTGTTTGGTTGTTTGGGAGGCTCAACCTTTTACAGATAGAAGTATGATGGCCCGTTTCTTTGCATATACTGCAGGCTCCTCTTGTGCAGACTGAAGCCTTGTGATCCTGGGGGCCGAACCGGGATCACAAGGCTTCAGTCTGCACAAGAGGAGCCTGCAGTATATGCACCAGTTTGTGTCGATCACAGTAGAGTCTCTCAATTAATGCTTCTTTGTCGCCATATTTTTCTTTGAGGTACGCTATTACTAGCGGGTAAGTGTGCCCTGAAATCTCGAATTGCTTTACTGACTCTCTAGCATCTCCTTCGAGCATCTGCTTCCCGGCCGATGCACCAGTTTGTGTCGATTTGTGTGGCGGGAGTGTGGATGGCCGGTGTAGAAGGCGAGATGAGAGGAGTGAAGCGAAGTGGTGAAGAAGTGTTTATTATGAACAACCGACCCCTTTTATAGGGCAGACAACACAACAACCATTTATCACTGTATTTGTTGTTGATCATAGTCTTCTCAGAATAACACCGGTCGGTGCGGTGAGGTTCATAGAGGATTCTCTGTGTTGAGGAATCTCTATAAGGCTTACGCTACGGGCAAGATGTTCAACAACCATCAGGATGTCAAGCGTATGGTCGATGAATGGATTGCGTCCCGGCCTGCTTCCTTCTGGAAGGAAGGTATCGATGCCCTGCCCAATCGGTAGAGAGACGTCGTGGCTAAGAAGGGCCACTATCTTGATTACTGATTTTTCGCTTTTGTTGTTGTTAATATGTGTTGAATAAAATGACCGAATTTTCTCAAAACTTTCCGGACACCCTAATATATGGGTGTTACGGCCCGAACCACCACTCCTCCTGCAATTCTACTCGTCGACTTAGGAAAGCGAATTCCGCTAGGTTGCTCCATCTATTATGTTTCGACCAATACCTCGTACTATGAACAGCTCAGTGGATTAAGGAATTCTGTTTCCATTATGATGTGCGCCTGGCGAAGCCAGGCCAGCCCGGCGAAGCCGGACCAAAGAAAAGGAGGAGAGCTCGGCGTGAGCCGGGCGATCCGATTGGTTTCAAAGGAAGCATTGGAGAAGTTGTAGAAATACGGTGAGTGCATCACGTGACTGACCTTTCGTAAGTATAACGGCCACAAACATGAACATCCATCGGCTTTCTCCACCCATCACGTTGGACGAAGAGTCCTACTGAGCTTGCGAATTAAACATACTTATCAAACTTTTTCAATCATTTCTTGGCATGCTGAAACTCATTTCTGTGATGCTTATATGGACCCCTTGAACACGCGACAAACCCTTTCTAAAAAGCACGACACGACCTGAATGACCTCCCTTGTTATAGATGAGGTGTACACTTATCTCGGTGGATCCTGGTCCTTGCCATGTATCAGTTTAATCGGTCAGCAGCTGCAGTACAGTGCCACTTGCTTTGCTGGAAAAGTTAGGAACGGGGATGGGGGGGGGTACTCATACTTTGGTGCCGTCTCCCCAAACTGTCTGCTCTGCCGCAATGCGTTTCATTTCGTAGCGGGACCATTGTATCGACACGAATGCAGCACGCTGAAGATAGTATGGACGGAGTGGAGGGATGGTCAGTAGCATCCAGCCCCGACAGCAATGAAGACATGAATATTCTCTGCTATTGAACGTTGAGTCGTTTGTAATGATTGCGGCATATCATAGGGAACAGCCAGTGAATTATGTCTGGTGGATATGCTTCCTGATAAAGTGAAAGGCGAGATGATGGATCTCCAGCATGGCCTTGCCTTCGCGGGTCGGTGTGTCGTCGATGCTGGTACCGGTAAGTATTCAGCAGTTCCCAAATTTCGATCTTCTAGTAGAAATCTATTCAACCCATTCGTATATAAGGGTGCCACATCTCATATTCTGGTGTATTCTTCATAAAGAGGCAGGTACGATACTCTAACAATTAGTGCACAATGCTCAAACCGAGGACCTTGGAGCACAAATCAATGGTCTGCAGTGTGCCACGGGGCAGTCTTTGACTGGCGAGGGGGAGAACATTGCTTAATAATCGTAAAAGTTTCAAGGTAATTCATTCTATTACGAGTCAAGGATTAAGTGAAATGTTACGCTAAAAATAGGCCGGTCAGTTAGTCGAACCGAGGCAGCTCCACCAAGGCACTCACTCTTTTCTTGAAATCGAGTTGCCACCGAACTCTGCACCTTCTTAAACCAATCAAAGATGAATGCACTCCCTTCGGTATGGGCTCAGGATTCACGTGGGCACTACAGACAGCAGTAAAATTAGTCGCTGGGTGCACCGAGTATTGTTTTCATGATGGACCAATTCTAATGGTCGGTCATAACTGACTTGAGAGACTCGTTGAGAAAGAAAAAGAAGAAAAGGCTTTCTGCGAAAAGGCTTGCCTACCTTTGAAAAATTGACGTTGCCTTCGTCATACATAGGCACCATGGGGATTTGAACCAGTCACTGTTAATTTGGAAGAGAAAATGAACTTCCGTAGCGTTTAGACCTAGCGGTCAACGCACTATGCCGCGCTGCAATTGTTATAGCGCTCCAGTCCTATAGATGCGAGCAACCGCTGACGAGAACTGTTGTGCGCCGCTCTAGCGGTCAGTGCCGATCGACACTGAGTGCGTGATTGGGGACTGCGCTCCACTCCAATCCTTTCCCCTATCATATCTCAATGCACAAGCAGCGCCGATCGATTCCCGTCTGCAGATGCGTTCTTACCCATAGGATTGAAGCGCTATTGCAATTGCAGAGCGTTACAGCGCGTCGACGCGCGTCGTCGTGAAGGTGACGATTGCCCACCGTAATCCAGGCATGCTTCCTAAATCATGCAAAAAACCGTTTTGAGAAGGCGCTACATCTCCCAGATAAACTCTTTGTGAGTTTCTAGCCAAAATGCTCGTAACATCTATCACAAGAATGCTGAGTTTTGGGCAAAAGTCGGACCACGGACGGGATTCGAACCCGCATCTTCTGCTTACCGGGCAGTTGCGTTCCCTATTACGCTACCGAGGCCACTTTTGACCACTATTACGCTACCGAGGTCACTTTTGCCCATAACTCAGCATTCTTGTGATAGCTTTCGAGATCGCGTACTGCGGCGTTAAACAGCAGTTATCAAACAATAACAGCTTGAAACTTGTAAAAAGCCTTCAGCCTTGCGGTTCACTGCCGATATCGGCTAACCGGCTCATCACGTTGAACGTGTGAGTGCTGTAAGGCTATGACACAAATAGCCAGAGCTGAGTGG